GTGCTGCAGGATCTGTTTTATGTGGTGCACACATACCACATAGATGTATTCTCTCATATCTAGGCCCAAATGTACCACTCACAGTTTATCAGAGTGAGCTGAGCTCATGGCGTAGATCTACGGTTTGGACCCTGAAAGGGTTAACTGACAAATACATTTGTTCTCTAGCCTTCCTTAACTTGTTAATCTCACTCCAAAACTTTTTCTTATTTTCAACAAAATTTGTTGATAACATCTTGCCCTCTCTCTCATTTGCTCTCTTTTTACATTGCTTAACCACTCTCTTAACCACTCTCTTTTTCTCCATATACTCTTTCCTCCTTGCATCACTTCTACTTTGTAAAAACTTCTCATATGCTAACTTTTTCTCCCTCACTACTCTCTTTACATCATCATTCCACCAATCGCTCCTCTTCCCTCCCGCACCCACTTTCCTGTAACCACAAACTTCTGCTGAACACTCTAACACTACATTTCTAAACCTACCCCATACCTCTTCGACCCCATTGCCTATGCTCTCATTAGCTCATCTATCCTCCAATAGCTGTTTATATCTTACCCTAACTGCCTCCTCTTTTAGTTTATAAACCTTCACCTCTCTCTTCCCTGATGCTTCTATTCTCCTTGTATCCCATCTACCTTTTACTCTCAGTGTAGCTACAACTAAAAAGTGATCTGATATATCTGTGGCCCCTCTATAAACATGTACATCCTGAAGTCTACTCAACAGTCTTTTATCTACCAATACATAATCCAACAAACTACTGTCATTTCGCCCTACATATCTTATTCAGTGGACCCCCGCATAGCGACCTTAATCCGTGCAAGAGGGCTGGCTGTTATGCGAAATGTTCCCTATGTGAATGAATTTTCCCCATAAGAAATAATGGAAATCAAATTAATCCGTGCAAGACACCCAAAAGTTTGAAAAAAAAAATTTTACCACATGAAATATACATTTTCCAACACACAAAGAGAAGGATACATGCACAATAGTAGAGTAGTACATGCACAATATATATTGTGCATGTACTAGTCTACTAAATGAAGAATAAATGACACTTACCTTTATTGAAGATGCAGCAATGACTGATGAGACACTGTGTCCTGGGAGTGCCTTTTCCTCCTGAGTACTGTAGGTCCTGTTTGGTATTTTCTTCCAGAACAGGCCTTATCACACTGTGTATGTCACTACGATTCTCAAATCTCTCAAACCAACCTTTGCTGGCTCTAAATTCACCAATATGAGCACTAGTTCCAGGCATTTTCCCTGTTCACCTGGGTGTTAGTCGACTGGTGTGGGTTGCATCCTGGGAGACAAGATTAAGGACCCCAATGGAAATAAGTTAGACAGTCTTCGATGACACTGACTTTTTTGGGCTATCCTGGGTGGCAAATCCTCTGGGGTTAATTGTTTCTTGGTATTCTCAATAAGCCACACCAACAACGGTGCTACAGCAGCAGCAGCAGCAGCTGACGATGTTACAGCAGCAGCAGACGATGCTACAGCACGCAGCAGACGATGCTACAGCAGCAACAGACGATGCTACAGCAGCAGCAGACGATGCTACAGCAGCAACTGACGATGTTACAGCAGCAGCAGACGATGCTACAGCAGCAGCAGCAGCAGACGATGCTACAGCAGCAGCAGCAGCTGACGGTGGTACAGCAGCAACAGATGATGCTACAGCAGCAACAGACGATGCTACAGCAGCAGCAGACGATGCTACAGCAGCAGCAGATGATGCTACAGCAGCAGCAGACGGTACTACAGCAGCAGGAGCAGCTGACGGTGGTACAGCAGCAGCAGCTGACAGTGCAGCAGCAGCTGACGGTGATACAGCAGCAGCAGCAGCTGTACCACCAATAGTAGCGATGGTTGATTGGGGTTTATTATACAACCTGGCCAGCTCGGAGACACGCACTCCACTTTCATACTTATCAATGATCTTTTTCTTCATCTCCATAGTAATTCTCACCCTTATTGCTGTAGGGTTGGCACTAGAAGCTTTCTTGGGGCCCATGGTCACTTATTTTCCAGAAAAAAATCACCAAAAACACTGTAATAATACAAAATGTTCCGATTGTATGCTTGGATGTTACCGCGGAGGCTGGCTGGTAAACAATGCCACCCGCGGAACATGTGAGCGTGGCTCAGGCCGCACATTGGACGCGTCTCGGACGAAGGCCGCTGAGCGGGTTTTTGGGCGCTATGCGGGGCAAAATTTTAGCGATCAAAGCGTCCGCTATGCGGATTGTCCGCTATGCAAGGCGTCCGTTATGCGGGGGTCCACTGTATACTTATCTATCCTCTTTTTCTTAAAATATGTATTACCTATAACTAAACCCCTTTCTATACAAAGTTCAATCAAAGGGCTCCCATTATCATTTACTCCTGGCACCCCAAACTTACCTACCACACCCTCTCTATAAGTTTCTCCTAAACTAAATAATGATCCAATATATCAGTTGCCCCTCTATAAACATGTACATCCTGGAGCCTACCCATTAACCTTTTATCCACCAACACATAATCTAACAAGCTACTTTCATTATGTGCTACATCATACCTTGTATAATTTATCCTCTTTTTCATAAAATATGTATTACTAATTACCAAATCTCTTTCTACACATAGCTCAATTAAAGGCTCCCCATTTACATTTACCCCTGGCACCCCAAATTTACCTACTACTCCCTCCACAACATTTTTACCCACTTTAGCATTGAAATCCCCAACCACAAGTACTCTCACACTTGGTTCAAAACTCCCCATGCACTCACTCAACATTTCCCAAAATCTCTCTCTCTCCTCTACACTTCTCTCTTCTCCAGGTGCATATACACTTACTATAACCCACTTTTCACATCCAACCTTCATTTTACTCCACATAATCCTTGAATTAATACATTTATAGTCCCTCTTTTCCTGCCATATCTTATCCTTCAACATTATTGCTATTCCTTCTTTAGCTCTAACTCTTGATTCTGAGGACATGTACATAACCTTCTCGACTACGACAAATACTACTACAACTAACCCATCTCTATGGGTAGGACCTACTTCCACTGGGGGATCCCGCCTACCAGTGACTATGCCCTTGTCTGGTACCCGTCCCATTTCCACCTGACGTTAGTATATAAGCGTCAGGCACCTTGCTTCTGCTTCAGAATCTCCAAGACTACGGTGCTCTTCGCACCTACTCCTAGGTTGAGGGACTGATTACCTCATTTTCTGTACATAGTTCTACTATCTTCAAGTTATGTCCTGGAATTTGTATTGATAAAGCCACTGGATGGCAAAACATCTACAATAAAGATACCCAGATGTTGCACATGTGTCTTAATTTCAGCTCTAACTCTATTTGAAACTCCTGACCTAATCCCATTTATTCCTCTCCACTGAAACTCTCACACCCCCTTCAGCTTGGTTTCACTTAAAGCCAGGACATCCAGCTTCTTCTCATTCATAACATCCACAATCATCTCTTTCTTATCATCTGCACAACATCCATGCACATTCAGACTTCCCACTTTGACAATGTTCTTCTTCTTATTCTTTTTAGTAATCTTTACAGGTAAAGGGGTTACTAGCCCGTTGTTCCCGGCATTTTAGTTGACTTTTACAACACGCATGGCTTACGGAGAAAGATTCTTATTCCACTTCCCCATGGATATAAAAGGAAAAGTAATAAGACCAAGAACTATTAAGATAAAATCAAAGAAAACTCAGACGAGTGTTTATAAATAAACGTGTACATGTATGTGTAGTGTGACCTAAGTGTAAGTAGAAGTAGCAAGATGTACCTGTAATCTTGCATATTTATTAGACAGACAAAAAACACCAGCAATCCTACCATCATGTAAAACAATTACAGGCTTTTGTTTTACACTCACTTGGCAGGACGGTAGTACCTCCCTGGGTGGTTGCTGTCTACCATCCTACTACTAACATTATATATAGTATTGGTCTCACAGGCCACAAATGTTACTAGAAAAAGAAAAAATTAGAAAAGAAAAAAGTATAAAAAAAAAGTAAAATAAAGAAATGCGATTTTGCAGAAGTCGCTGATGTTGCCGCCACCCAGTCATTTTGGGTCAACTTTCCGCCTCTATATCTCGGTAAGTACTGATTGGGAAAATTTTTTTTTTTTGTTTTATTACCTTCACGAAAATATTATCGTTAATTCTGTAAGAAAAAAAAAAAAATTCAAAATTTCTTGGACACTGGGGCACCCACTGAAATTTTGCCTCTGGACCCTGAAAAGGTTAATCATTACATAAATATAGTGATCAAAACATTTCAAAACTAAAGCTAATTTTTAAAAATAAATTATGAACTATAGTCAAGAATATACCAAAACAGACGAAAGTACAGGCTCACCCTAAGAATGGATGGAGGGAAGAAGCAAAGGAGGTTTTGTGTGCAAGAGGCATGGACATCCCGCAGGCATGTGTATGTTAAATAAATATGAGTGAAGGAAAATGATTTTTTGGGACTTGACGAGCTGTTTGAGTTGAGCAAGGTAACATTTTGTGAAGGGATTCAGGGAAAACTGGTCTGCTGGACTCGAGTCCTGAAGGTGGGAAGTACAATCCTTACACTTTAAAGGAAGGGTGGGATACTTGCACTTTGGAGGGGCATCTGAACCATAGTATCTATATACCTCTGGCAAAACAACAATAGTGAATGATGGTGGAAGTGTTTCTTTTTCAGGTCACCCTGCCTCAATGAGAGACAGCTGGTGTTAAAAAATAATTCAGCTTTTGTAATGAAATTAGCGAGAGCTGCAGTACACATGCATGATCACTTTCAACAACACAACAGAAGACAAAGTTTAAATAATCTTAATCCACCTGTTCCTATAGTTCACTGCTGTAGAGTGGCTACACACTATAAATTTCTGTGGTCTCTCATAAATGCGGTACTTAGTAAACAAATGTCCAAATTGTCTCATCTCTTTTTCATATGAATAATGTAAGCACATCGTTTAACTAACCTTTCTTATTGCTGTCAAGATACCAAGAAAGATAGTCCTTGTAAACACTTCGGAGTATATCCAGCACACCAACTTTCTTCTTATACTGCACCAAATAGCGTTTAAACACCAACTCCCCAAGTTGACGGTAAAGTATAAACTTGGGGAGGGAGAATGACACAGATCCACCAGCCAGTCTTTGTACTTCCTGCAATACATCCATTATAATATACTGTACTTTACAAACTCATAAATCATATGATATGGTAAAAGTATTATTCAGAGGGCTGAAGAGGTGTTATTGAGGTGGTGTTTTGGTCATTTAGAGAGGAAGAAGCAAAATAGATTGACTTGTAATGCATATAAATCTGTAGTGGAGGCAACAAGGGGTAGGGGTCATCCTAGGAAAGGATGGAAAGAGGGGTTAAGAGTTTTTGTATGCAAGGGGCTTGGACATGCAGCAGGCATGCATGAGCATGTTAGATAAGTGAATGGAGGTGAATGGTTTTTGGGACCTGGCGAGCTGTTGGAGTGTGAGCAGGGTAATATTTTGTGAAGGGATTCAGGGCATGCAGTTAGCCAGACTTGAGTCCTGGAGGTGGGAAGTACAATGCCTGTACTTTAAAGGAGGGGTTTGGGATACTGGCTGTTGGCATGACATCTAAACTGTCATATGTCTGGGTGCCGCTAGAAAGACTGATTATGCATGAATGATGGTGAAAGTGTTGAATGATGGTGAAAGTGTTGAATGATGGTGAAAGTGTTGAATGATGGTGAAAGTGTTGAATGATGGTGAAAGTGTTTTTCTTTTTTAATAATAATAATAATAAGAATAATAATTTTCCTAGGTAGTAGGTTGGCAGACAGGAACTGCCCAGGGAGGTACTACCGTCCTGTGGTAGTAGGTTGGTAGACAACAACTGCCCAGGGAGGTACTACCATCCTGTGGTAGTAGGTTGGTAGACAACAACCGCCCAGGGAGGTACTAGCGTCCTGTGGCAGTAGGTTGGTAGACAACAACCGCCCAGGGAGGTACTACCATCCTGTGGTAGTAGGTTGGTAGACAACAACCGCCCAGGGAGGTACTACCGTCCTGTGGTAGTAAGTTGGTAGACAACAACCACCCAGGGAGGTACTACCGTCCTGTGGTAGTAGGTTGGTAGACAACAACCACCCAGGGAGGTACTACATTCCTGTGGTAGTAGGTTGGTAGACAGGAACCGCCCAGGGAGGTACTACCGTCCTGTGGTAGTAGGTTGGTAGACAACAACCGCCCAGGGAGGTACTACCGTCCTGTGGTAGTAGGTTGGTAGACAACAACCGCCCAGGGAGGTACTACCGTCCTGTGGTAGTAGGTTGGTAGACAGCAACCGCCCAGGGAGGTACTACTGTCCTGCCAAGTGAGTGTAAAACGAAAGCCTGTAATTGTTTTACATGATGGTAGGATTGCTGGTGTCCATTTCTCTGTCTCACAAACATGCAAGGTTTCAGGAACGTCTTGCTACTTCTACTTACACTTAGGTCACACTACACATACATGTACAAGCATATATATACACACACACCCCGCTGGGTTTTCTTCTATTTTCTTACTAGTTCTTGTTCTTGTTTATTTCCTCTTACCTCCATGGGGAAGTGGAACAGAATTCTTCCTCTGTAAGCCATGCATGTTGTAAGAGGCGACTAAAATGCCAGGAGTGGGGGGCTAGTAACCCTTCTCCTGTATATATTACTAAATATAAAGGGAGAAACTTTCGTTTTTCCTTTTGGGCCACCCTGCCTCGGTGGGCCACCCCGCCTCGGTGGGCCACCCCGCCTCGGTGGGCCACCCCGCCTCGGTGGGCCACCCCGCCTCGGTGGGATATGGCCGGTGTGTTAAAAGAAAAGAAAAGAATAATAATTTTATTTCTTTGTAAAGGTTACAATGTGTAATTACAATTTTGATTTGCTAAGTACAAAGATGGCCACTATCATGCCGAGACATTTGCTAAGTACAAAGATGGCCACTATCATGCCGAGACATTTGCTAAGTACAAAGATGGCCACTATCATGCCGAGACATTTGCTAAGTACAAAGAAGTCCACTATCATGCCGAGACATTTGCTAAGTACAAAGATGGCCACTATCATGCCGAGGCATTTCGGGCAAACTAATCCTAATACATACATAGTAACTAATTAAAACTAGGTAAGAGAATAGTACATAGTAATTATACCTAAAACTAAACATGGAATAGTGGTCAGATGTTCTACAATCTTATTTGGACTTAATATATCTTATGTATACTTAGTACAAAATCTAATTTACAAGGAATGGTGCAGGTGGTAATATTTTATGGAATGGCAGAATTAACCCTTTGAGGGTTTCGGACGTACTAGTACGTCTTATGCACAGGGTTTTTTTGACGTACTAGTATGCACAAATTCTAGCGCTGTCAAATCTCGCGGGAAAAGGCTGGTAGGCCTACATGTGAGAGAATGGGTCTGTGTGGTCGGTGTGCGCGGTAGAAAAAAAATCTGGGACCCAGTGGTGCATTGTGGGAACGCCATCTTAGTAAACAATATCCACCATGCCTCGCGGTAAGAAGCTCCTCACTCCTCGGCGAATTGGGACACTTTTGTTCCCCAGTAACAGTTCTAATACAGATGGAAGCGCCAGTGAAGATGAGTTAACAGGCTGGATGTTAGAAGGGCAGTCCTTTCTAGTATTCACTGGAGATCTCTAAGCTTTTAGAATCGCATTTTTTGTAACAAACCCTCTGGGGTTAATTGCTTCTTTGTAATTGTTTCTCATTAAGCCACACCAATAACAGTTTCTCCACATCTTTGAACAGTACAGCTGGCAGTGGTGCAGCAACAGCAGCAGCTGACCGTGGTACAGCAGCAGCAGCTGACCATGGTACAGCAGCAGCAGCTGACCGTGGTACAGCAGCAGCAGCAGCTGACCGTGGTACAGCAGCAGCTGACCGCAGTACAGCAGCAGCTAACGGTGGTGCGATAGTATTTCGATAGTATTTCTCACCCTTTTTCTCACAGGGTTGGCACTAGAAGCTTTCTTTGGGTCATGGTGGCTTATTTAGCAGTTACAAGCACTGAAAACAATGGAATAATACAAAATGTATCAAATGTATACATGGAACCGGCCACCCTGGCTTGTAAACAATGACGGCAGGGCAGCTGAGGCGCTCAGGTTGGACGGACAGGTTCGAGACGAATCACATTAGGCGAGTTTTTCATCACTGGCCGGGCGAAAATTTTCACGCTCAAACGCTTTGTTAGACGGATTTAACGTTAGACGATGCTTTCCTTAGCCGAGGGTCCACTGTATTCTGTTAGTGGGATGGAATGTGAAGGACCTGCCTAGTATGGGCCAACAGGCCTGCTGCAGTGTATTATTATTAGTAGTACGTAGTAGTACGTACGTACATAGCATGAGTGGTGACCTGTACATAGCCCAGTGGTGACCTGTACATAGCTCAGTGAGGATGTGTCTAGTGTACTCTCTGTGGACTGAACCAAGATGCCCTCCTTTGAGCAACTGTACCAGCAGCTTAAGGAGGAATTGAGGGTAGTGAAGCTTGAGATATGGCAACTGATGGAGGAAAACAAGAGGATTCATAGAAGTCCTCCTGTTGTGAGTCCCCAGGTCAAGAAGGGAACCTGGGCAGTGGCCGGACAGCATGGAACGAAGTTGAAGATCAAAAAGACGAATGGAGAGGTAGAAACAATGAAGAAGAAAGAGACTACTGTGGAAACAGTTCTGGAAACATCGAACGCATTCTGCGTGCTTCCCAATGAATGTGAGTCGACTACTGGGAACATCACGATGAACGACACCAAGAAAGGTAAAAACGTTTTTGTTGTTGGGGATAGCCAGGTTAGGTATTTGGATAGGGCATTATGCTTGAAGGATAGGAGTAGGAGGCAGAAGATTTGCTTTCCTGGGGCTGGGATGGAGGATACCATTAGTCGGCTTGACAACATCATGAACGGTAATGGGATCAATCCTATTATCTGCCTCAGTCCTGGAGGCAATGATATAGGCAAGCGTAGGAATGAGGATTTAGTTAGAAGGTACAGGACAGCAATAGACATAATTAGGAAGAAGGGGGGGTGCCCTGTTACATGTGGCATTTTGCCAAGAAGGGGTGTTGGAAATGAATGGTTGTCCAGAGCAATTGAAATTAATTATTGGCTGGACAAAATGACATGTATGCCAGGGATGGGGTTCACCTATCCAGGGCAGGTGTGGGTTTTCTTGCTAGCTGTTACGAGTATGGCCATACCCGTTTTATTTTATAATTGGATAAGCCCCTTTATTTTATAATACATGTATATATGTTAAGGCAAATATTAATGCTAATATTGTATGTATTATATTATGTTTTGTTACGCTTTAATATTATTTCCATGTAGTGGGAAACCACTAGGTTTAAGTGCCGGTTAGCAGTTCAGGTACTGAGGTCTCCCTCAGTCACGTGACCAACCTGACATTGGCTTACCACTCAGTGGTACCGTCAGTAGGTTTACAGCACCTGCTCAGAGAAGGTTCACCACCCTTGCTCTGAGTAGGTTCACTACCCTTGCTCTGAGTAGCTTTACAGCACTCGCTGAGAGCAGGTCCTTCACACTCACTCTGACTAGCACTCTCACTTCTAGTCTGGGCTTGCATAGCCAAGGGAGCATACCTCACTCATTGACTTCTCATAAGAGACATGTCAAGTTCTCTCTGGTGGTCGTTTTTCTTTCATGATTGAGTTCCTTTCTTAAGCTTGTCACTTTCGAGTTATTTATACTCGGGTAAATGAATCTTTCAGGTGACTGAATAAGCCTTGTTGGCCTTGATGTTAATTTGTGGTCTAAGCTATTCTTAGTCATGTTGGATGGAAATGAGACTAAGTCCGTCACTTACAAGTTCTTGTATACTCTGAATTGATAGTTCAGATAAGTCTTTATAACCATTATAAGTTACTTTGTGGTTAAGTCTTAATAACCATTATAGGTGCATATTATTGGTGAACTTAGTACAAAGCTCGACCTCAAGAGGTTCATTTATTCATATCAATGTACTGGTACATACCAAGAGAAATGTAAGAGTTAAACTCCTTATTTTATATTAATCCCAACATTATAATCATGCATAAAGCTAAAACTCTACTAGTAAAGATTCTAAGTTTTAGTTATTTGTTTCGTAATCCTGAATTCTTA